TCTCTCTCTCTCTCTCTCTCTCTCTCTCTCTCTCTCTCTCTCTCTCTCTCTCTCTCTCTCTCTCTCTCTCTCTCTCTCTCTCTCTCTCCTCCGTTGCGAGATTTTCTCTGCTCTGAAGGTCTCTCTGTCTTGAAATTCTCTCTGCTCTGTTGCGAGTGCCGTGAGATTTTCTCTGCTCTGAAATTCGCTCGGCTCTGGTGCAAAATTCTCTCTGCCTCTGCTCTGTTATGTTTTTTTTTTTGTTGGAGTCCTTTGCGGCATCATGGCCGTTAAACTTGGAACGATGCAAAAAAAACAGCAGACAAGGTGCCTCGCTCCACTACTGACCACATGCCCAAAAGGCAAAAGATATGGCGGTGGACTTTCCCATGTTTTAGCACAAGATTCATTTTCATTTTGCACATTCGGCGAACAGTGGAGCAAGGCCCAAGATTCGGCGACAGTGTGACACATATAAATGGAGAAGTGGTCCAAATTAAGAAAGGGACATCCGTTAAAATTGGAACGATACAGAGAAGGGTAAATTAGCAAATGGCCCCTGCGCAAGGATGACACGCATAAATCGAGAAATGGTCCAAAAGACTCCAAATTATAAAAAAGAAGAAAAAAAAAAAAGAAAGGGGAGGAAAAAAAAAAAAACTTGTACAAGTAGTACAAACTCCTGTTACACTATTCAGAATGGAGAGCTATTCACAATCCAAGAATCGGAAATTAGTACTTTGGGATATGAACCCGGGTCATTGGAACTAGGTCTTGCATGACATGACATGCTAGAGCTGTTCCCATATGTGTTTTTTTTTTGTTTTTTTTTTTCCTTCTTCTTCTTCTGTTTGTTATTATGCAAGGAATATGAGTGTTAACGATATACAGAAAACCAAGTTGTGAAATCACACAGATGTCCAAGTAGTCGTGTCCAAGCAGAGAGTACACGATGCACCGAGAAACCATCCATATAGAGCAATACAATGAAGTAATGAGCCAATGTTCAAGCCCGTAGGCCACACCAACACAGTATCCAAAGTCGCTCCTCTCTGTCTGGCGCCCAGCACCCAGTCTACTCTACCCGACTATCCTACCTACAGCTATGTTCACGCAACAGGCTCACTTCGACTCTCAAAGACCAATGTACGTGACTGTCAACGCCATAGCCGACCTCTCTTCATGCACCAGGTACGTATCTCGTCACCCTCAATCAGACCTCGATAACCCCACACTCGCCTCCTTCCCTGAAGACCACCAGATCACCCTGCTCACCCCCTGGCGCCCAGCAGCCCGGCTATGGCTGCTTGCTCCCCTCTGCCCTGCAGCGCCCCACTTCACCTCTGTGCGCCCAGTCAGCGCCCTTGGCCGCAGAGCAGCATCCCCAGCAGTAGTGCAGCAGCACTTCCGCATTGCCTGCGCAGGCCAGAATGCCTGGCCTGGGCTGCCTCACTTCTTTTATGGAAGTGGCAGCCTCCTGGATGCTGCGTGTGGCCTAGCTAGAAGCTTCCAGTAGCCTCCGGTTGGGCCTCAGACCCTGCGCCCAGGCCCTAGACTACAGTTGAGGGCTTGGGCCCCATTTACAGTTGGGCACGGCCTGAGTCTCCGGACTTGGGCTGTTTGCGGCATCTGTGCACGGATCCCGGATAAGTGCGTCGAGAGTACTGCTTCTGCCTAGGCCGAGGGCCTGCTTCTCAATGTATCGGCCCTGCTTTGTGTGTATGTGCCCAGGCGCAACTGTCAAGGCCTGGGCCAACTGTACGACGCAGCTTAGCGAGGCTCGCACGTCCATTCAACCAACTGGCGTGCTGCAAGAGCCTGAATACCCAAGTGTCGAATTTTGGCCTTTGACGAATATTCAGGCCCACCTTCACTTAGGGCGGGCAGTTGGCTTGCTGGGGGCCTTTGCCCAGAACATGTGATGTCTGATAGAGCCCCGTGAGGCCTTGTTCCTCGCAATTATTTTGTTTAAAGTTTAAACTTTAAAGTAAACATCGAACATTTGAAAATTCAAAATTTTAAATTTCCCTTTTCAAAAAAAAAATCTCTTTAAAGTTTAAACTTTAAAGGCTTTTTGAAATTTTGTTTTTGTGTTTTCTTTTTTTTCGTAAGACTTGAATGAAGTTAAATGAACTTAAATCCCTTTTTTTAAGTTTTTTAAGTTTTTTTTTTGTTTTTTTTTTTTTTAACTTTTGCCCCCCTTCCCAGGTGATTTTGGACTCCATTCTGGTCGGATACTGGCTGCGGAGCGACAGATCTTCAGGCTAGAGCATCGTCCAGACTTCAACAAGAAATCTCATAAGACACCATGATGGGAAGACGTTGTCATTCGCATTTTGAAACATCGAAACAAAAGTTAAGGGGTGCAGAAAGCAAGGAAAGAACAAGAGTCACATACTTGAAGTACAGTGCGCTCCTTCCGGCTGCAAGCTATACACAATTGCGGAGCCCATAAACAGGTCAGGAGATCAAATCCTGATGGACAAAAAAGGACGGGTGCCGCATGGTTGTTTGTGCAAGCAGAGTGTTCCATGGGACCTTCAGGATGAGAAAACAGGGCGCAAAAATGTTGCACTTAGCTCATCATGATCTTCAGGCGCAGCCGCAGGTGGAACGGCTTAGGATGTACATTTTCAACTGAACCTGGGTCTAATTGTGCACAAGTACATGACTGCAGAAACTACTAATGGTGTGTCAGCGGTGGCTCAAGGAGAGGAGAAATGGTGGCCCCCAGAGCTGCTTGATGAACTCACACACACACACACACACACACACACACACACACACACACACACAGAGAGAGAGAGAGAGAGA